TCTAGATGTAGTGTGCTTACTGGCATTTTCTAAGGACTAATTTTTTGTTCCCAACCAATATTACATTTTTGTACGTATTTAGCAATGTCGTTGCGCATTTGTTTCCAATAATATTCTTTCCTCATTCACTTATAAGTTTTTATAAGTGAATAATCCTCTTGAGTCCTGAAAAGGATTGGCACTTTTAACAAATGGTGGTGAGCTTGCTTGTTAATGCTGTGAGATGCGATGGTCTCCCTGGTGGCTCTACCCTGAAGTTATGCTAACGCGGTTCTGGGGTGGAACTAAAGCCATGCAGCATGGCGGGGGGGGGGGTGTTTGTGGGTATGGGTGGTCTAATAAAAAAAATCCGCTGAGTCTATCACTACTGCTGTCCCTGTGGTGTCTTAATGCATTTTTCCTCCCTCCACAAAAAAAAAGAAAAAGAAAAAAAAACATGCACTAGAGAATATATTCACGTAGAAATGAAGAAATTCTAGAAAGTGAATAATGCTTTTATAAACTTTCTTTTATTCTGGATCTTAAGGTTGCATATGCAAAGAATCGGTGTTAGGTAGTTAAGGTATACTTTTGTTTAAAGCAAAATTAAACCACACTGGTTGAGGACCAGGTTATAGCAGAGACGGACTATAACCACTCAGTTGACCGAGGGTAAAAGTAAGAACGGTGCTTTTAGCACCCTTTGGGCTTTTTTATAAAGAGTAGCGGACCTAAGTCACGTACTGACTTGAAAATGATGCAAGAAAGCTGATGTAAGAAGAACTTTGAGGGAAAAAAGAGCCAACGATCTGATTGGCTAGTATTGCTCTGGCTTGGCATTTGAAAAATCGTCTCTTTTAAAATTCAGCTTGCTCTCCATCATGTTTGATCATAGTACCACATCTATGAGAAAACTTGCAGATGATTTAACTCCTTTCAGATGCTTATTGGTCTCTTCTTTTTATGTTTTTTAACTTGGAGCGAAGAAAAAGAAAAAAGAATCAATGGTTGTATACCTATGTTATACATGTTTATTATTTATTTAAATACATACATTTTTAGTAGATATCTAAGTTATTAATTTACAAGAAAATGTGTTTTCTAAAGCATACATGTATATAGTATTTAAAGTATGAACAAATATACGTAAAAAAAAAGTTTTTTTTTGCTCACAACCGACAAATGACGTAAAATTGTTCTAAAGTTTCAACGAATAGTGGCAATGATAAAGGTTAACAATGATTTATGAGAAGAATACATTTGTTATTTAAAAGAGGATATTCTGCAGTGTAAAAAGCCCATGTTAGTATAACGCGGGTTTTTGTAATAATTTATTTATTCTTCTTCCATGATTCTAAGTAGCTACTACAAACCTAAAAAAAAGTATTTGAGATCCTTTATTGCTTTAGTCTTGGTGTCCAAGTGCAGTAATTCTTGTACAAAAAAAATATTAAAAATGTTTTTACATAGTTACATCTACAATAAATTCAATTTTTATGCGTATTATTAAAAAATAAAACTAAGCTTTCAACAACTGTTTGTAATAATAAGGTTGTTAAGAAAGTAAGCAATCTATTTTTAATAGCATACTAATATACGATTAAAATTCATATTATAATGCTAACAGTTTATTGACAATGTTTGTAACTATATAAATTTTTTGTTATTCAGCCAAAACAAGTTAGAAGCAACTTTATACTTGAATAAAAAAATTCAATTATATGAACAGTTCTTTTATATGTAGGTTAAAAAAGTGACTTAATCGGGAAAAGTTTGCCTTAGCGTAGCGAACAGCCATTTTTACAAATAAGAGCCAATAGAAAATAGGAATAAGTCTTTTCTTTTAATACAATGCAGTAGGTCTTCTACTCATTGAGAAAGAAGCTAAAGTACTGTTAAAGAATACAACCCAATATTAGTTATAAAAAAATAAATATTTCATTAGCTCAGTTTGCCTACTTCATCCAGATATTTTAATGCTCTATATAACAGAAGAAAAAAAATCAAATGCACGATCATTAGACAAAATATTTGTAAGGAACATAACGAAGAAAAAATGTTTTTTACCCTTTTGAATAAATCTATTTACTTTAGCTTAGCTGTTACTACGACTCATGTTCTTACTGTAACTGTTATAAAGACTAGTGGCATTTGGAGGCCAGATGTATTTACTCTCATAAAAACAGGCTTATCATACATATGTCCGTAAAATTTTCACGTTTGTATGGTGATATGCTTTGGTAGTATATTAAAAATGTTGATGACTTTTGTAACACATACTTCTAAATTCAATATATTCAGATTAACATTGACAAAAAGGTTTCAGAAATTATGAGTTTATACCAATCTTTTTATATCCAGGACTTTCACAGTCTCGTAATTAAATTTATGACCAGATTCTCGTCAACATACTAGAATAACCAATTTTTTTTGCAATCTCTTTTATGTTTATCAATTATATCGTTTAAGGCACGCTTAGATTCCCCTTTATTCATACATGAGTATCTGTTGCACGAAAATAAATAAACTGTTCTCGTCGAATCTTACCTTGGTGTATTGTCTTTTCCAAGTTTTACTAAATAATTGAGTTTTTTCTAATTAAATGAGTATTTGAATAACTCAAAAATTATACTTTAAGTGTAATCTTGTGATTTTATTCTAGAAGTTTTTTTCTACAATGCAAACGCTAAATAAAGGTTCTTGGATTGGTAAATTTATGTTATAAAAACGATTATAAATATCACTTTGGTTGAGTCTTTGAGCAGATAAATAGTTGTATATTAGCTAAGAAATTATGAGTCATGATTATTGTGTAAGATTTGTTTTAAAAGGTTTAGGATAATAAAATGAAATTTTTTGCCAAATTATAAAACTGCATGGTTAATAAAAACTAAAAAAACTGGTATATTCATTCCCAAATCGTACATTGATGATAGTTTGCAATTTATCATAACTACACAAAGAATGACGATACCAGAAGAATTCGCTTTGCTAACGCTTGATATAAATGTATTATTTATAAGTGTAACTTTAGATTAAGTCATAAATAATCTTAACAAAAGTTCTACAGAAATCAATAAAAACTGTAGAATCTCTTTTTATCGTGTAAGAAAAATCATATCGTTGAAAATTCACTCACGCTTACATCTGTCACAAACGCTGACACTCTTATTTCTTTTCAATATAAAGTACTCAAAATATAATTGTATCCAAAAAATTAGGAAAAACCATCCTGCAGTATCGCTTTGTTCAATAGGTTAGTGTTACATGCCAGTGAATGTTCTTGCAAGACGTTCATCACACATAAACTTTTGTTTACAGGCATTCTTCAAATATCAAACGTATATTCAAAAAAAGCATGAAAAGTATCCGAAAAACGCAGATTGAGTGTACCTTATGCATACGTTTAATTTCAAGAAATCACAATTGAACACATTACTTTACGGAAAAATCATGTAAAATTGCATTTATATGATCTGTAGCGATCTCCCAATTTTTTTGGTATACTAGATTACTTTTAGATAAATGTACTAAATAATAGAATTACAAGATGGTTTTTAAATACATTAGAAATAGAGGATCAAGTGTGCGTAAAAGTATGTAGAAGAGTATATCTACAAGATAAAAAGAAAAAGAATTGCTAGCTTTACTGTACATATTTGTGGTCATGTCATTTCTCTGACCTTTTTCCTTGGTTACTATGTGAAAAATATCCTTAAGTCAATAAATCACTATAATCACGAATAAAAATGTGAAACAGTAATAAGCAATGAAAATTTATTATTGTATTTGTACAGAACAACAATTTTTTTTGAAACCTTTTGAAAGTTAAAAAAATAGCATGAAAAAATTAAACAAACAAGTACCTTTTTATTGTAAAAGAAACAAATTAATCGTAAGTGAATAAGTATTTAATAAATCGTAGGAGAGCTCAAATATACTAATTTCTAACTTTTAGAAAAAAACCATGAACTAAGAAAATAAGTCCATTGTATAAATCATTAATTTAGCAGTGTGATTTGTAATCAAACCAAATTACTTAATAAAAAGTAAATAAAAGTTTACGGTAAAAATCAGTTATGAACCACAACATAAGAATAAGTTATCGATTTTGTAAAATCGAGATCGCTCATAGCAAAGTGGGTAAGGGCCTCGGTTACTGTGCAAGACATCAGGGGTTTCAATCTACTGGGTAACATTCTTTTTTTTTTTAGACTCGTTAAAAGGAAAAGGAATAAATCTTATAAAATTTAAAATGTGTTATAAAGTGAGATGTAGTCACATTGTGTGGTAAGTAGGGGACTGGAATTATGACAAGAGAAGTGGGGTAAACGTAAAAGTAACATACAAAATCCACTTCCGTGACACTTTTTCTCAAAATAATCAATCTGAAATCGTTAATTTACTCTCATGCATTATAAGCCAATAGGAATATAATTCCAAAAAATCATCAAACAAAGCTGCTCTGTTTGTACAACTTCTGGAAGAATGTTAGTCCATACGGAAGCTTTAATTTCAAAAAGTTTTTCTTAAATGGTAGGTATGAAATGATTGGTACTCTATACTATTTGTGGTATATAAATCTATTAACTAGGTATGCTTCCCTTTTCTCATTGATTTTGAATTCCTTTTCTGTAACTTCTCTTAACACGCTGTATTAATCTTACAGGCGGATACTAAGTGAGCGCGTATATAGCAAGTGTCAGTTGCGTTTGTCTACGTCTCATATCACTAGCTCACTGTTCTGATAAGTTCAGTTTAAGACCTACAAAAAATCTGAGCTGTGCGAGTATTTGTAATACGATCGTTCATACGTTTATATATTAGAGAAAATTTTATGTCAGAAAGCAGGATAATAGTTATTAGTCGTGTTTTATGATTACAGCGTTATGATTTGAAAAAAAATATATATTTTTCTCTAAAAAAAATCAAAATTTTAAGTTACTACTGTTCTATGTGATTTTTTCATTTAAAAAATATGTTATATTAAAAACATTGTTATAATTAACATTTATTTTTAGTTATCTATATCGAGAATGGAGAATACAAAACTTAATTCACTTGTTATTAAAATGTCTCATAAATACACTGATCTTGCTCAAGACACTTTGAGAGCTACTATTGCAACATTTAATGAAGAAATGTCAACGAAGTTACGTATAGCAGTTCAAGAGTTGGGAAATGCATGCTTATATTTAGTTCAAGATGCTTGCACTTGTCCAATTATGTCAAGTGATTTAGAAGTCTATGAAAAGAGTTCTGACTACAGCAAAATTATAGGAGAAAAAGTATCTCTTATCCTTGCAATACTCCAAGCTGGATCTCGCGGTACACAAGCTTGTATCAATGCAGCAAGCACTGTATCAGGAATAATTGGAGATTTAGATACAACAATAATGTTTGCTACCGCGGGTACACTACATGCTGAGAATGAGAACGAAACGTTTGCTGATCACAGAGAAAACATACTCAAAACAGCTAAAGCACTCGTAGAAGATACCAAAACATTAGTAGCTGGAGCAGCATCTTCTCAAGAACAACTAGCCGTAGCTGCTCAAAATGCAGTTTCAACAATTGTTGAGCTTGCTGAAGTTGTTAAATATGGAGCTGCAAGTCTAGGAAGTGAGAATTTAGAAGCTCAGGTGATGCTAATAAATGCTATTAGAGATGTCACTTTTGCTCTTGGAGATCTTATTCAAGCTACAAAAGCTGCAAGTGGAAAACTCGTAAATGATCCAACAATGGCCCAGCTAAAAGATTCTGCAAAGGTAAGCACCAAACTAATGTGCTAATATTTCTAAATTTTTACAAGAAATAATCAACGCAACGTAAAATGATTATTACTGATTTTTTTCTACATCTAAACTTATTTCTTTTATATTCGTATCGCTTGTCATATTTAGTATATATTCTGCAGTCAAAATTTTTACTTTAACATTTAGAAAAAGTCCTACTATTTTAAAAATTTATGATGAAGCAAGCCAAGATAATTTTAAATTCTCACTTATTACTTGATAGGCTCTACATAGGCTTCTTCTATATCCGTTAAACTTGTTGAGAATAACTAAAACTTTCATTAATTAGAAAGTTTTTCTAACATGGCATTAATCTTATACGTGTTAAACATAATATTTATCGAAATTCTACGATTACCTTTATACTTTGGTAAGCTTTATTCATTGACATATTTTTAAACGACGTATAACTTATGCGTTGGGAGCAGATAAATATACCACTGTATGTACAAAAGCACAACTATTAGGCACGATTTAAGAGTATGATAGAGAGAGTTCATATTGAATTTGTGTTTTGCATGGGACATGCAACACAGTCTTTAATAAAACTTTTTGGAACTTCAGCAAAGATGAACGAAAGTTTTGCTTTTTCCATTTATTTAGATAGCTTTTATACTTCGCACAACTAATATTTACGCACACAATAATAACTGAAATTTTACGTTAATAAGTTCTTATTATGCACACATTCTTGAAAATAACTGCAATCGTGGAAACCTTAACTTGTAGAGTATGATTCATATTTTTCAAGCTAATATTCTTTTTAGTTCTATCAACTCCATGTAAATTTTTCTGATACTCTTAAAATACTGTTGATACAATACCAAATTTCTATTGTAAAAAAAAATTTTCTATTAGCTCAAATTTATATCTTCTAAAAAAAAGTGTGTTTTAAATGATTTTGTGACTTTTTGACTCAATAACCTTTTAAGATTGACAATATACTTATATTGCTCGGGGTACAGAGAAATTTTGATTTTACTTCTAATCTCTTGGATTGTTGATATCTCTTTTTGTCTTGTTATGAGAACTACATGATATTACAAATAATAGTTTAAATAATGTTTATTGTTATAACATCATACTTCTACCGTGTATTTGTTGAACTCACGATTGATTTCTTGATGATAGAATAATTAAAGTGTTAGTTTTTGTACGGTATCTAATGCAAATTTTATAGAATTTAGGAATGAAAAAAAACTTGTTTTTGTTAAGTTACAAAAAATTGAGGCAGAGGGTGAAGTCTTACTACTTGCAAACGTTAACAAAGTGTCTGGAACTTTTTGATTTGTTCTTAGCTCAAAATAACTTAGTTATTGCAGTTTTTTCATTATTGCTGAAAATGTTATTTACAGGACGAAATTTAAAAAAAATACACATTTGTAGTACTACAAAAATTAACTAAATCAGTTCTATAAACTTATACTGTTAAGAAGGTTGCCTGATAGCTCTACATATTTTACAAAATATGCTTAACACTCATAATAAGGGGTCCCTGTCTACAACACTCACGTATTAAAAATTAATCTGATAACTCAGCTAAGATTTCTGAAAACGTATTTTAACTCAAAAAGAATTTTGTAGATTATTTTACTGTTCTCTAAGCTGTTCCGTTGATACGATCAATTAAATGGTAAATGAAAGAAATATCTTCAAAAGTGTTTTACGTCAATTTTTGAGAACAAACCTAATTTGTGACTTTGCCAGGTAATATTTTTTCGGTATCTGATCTGAAAAATCCCCTAAAACATCACCTAAATATAAAAGAATAATTATTTTTAAACATTTAAATAAAGTTGTTTGAAAGACGAAAGTGTATACGATAATTTTTAGCGGCTTTTGTGAACGTCTCAAAAAGTATCAAGATCATTAAAAATTATTTTAATTATGATAGGTAGGGCTCGTGTTCTCACGCTTTTTTAAAAAACTACCATGAAATTCATGTAAATTGAAGTTAAAAGCCTCAGTTCGTCTTTTTAAAAAATTTGTGAGATATGATGAGACATGAAAATAATAAAAAAATTTAAAGAGCTTTTGAATAACTGTTTACATAACTTTCAAATGTTTTATACCTATGTTTATAAGAGTCTTCCTTCGGAACTCGCAAACAGTTTCAACTCTTACTTAACCATTTTGGTGTTTAAACAATTTATTGTGTTTATTCAGTGATTTTTTATTTAGACATTCAGCGTTATAACAAAGGAATGTTCAATGATTTGAAAAATACAATAATTGAATTTCATAAAAACAAACAAAAATTAAAAGAATCCTTACTACAACATAATTTCCATTAGATATTTAATCCTTCTGTCTCTTTTTATGTGTAAACTTTTATTAATAATATTTGCAGAAATTTTGTCAATTTAAAAGATTAGTAAAAAAGCAACCAGGTTATTTTGGAAAAAAATACTTTGGAAATATCTTATATCTTCAATTCCAAGAAATTTGTAGCGTAAAAAAAAGATTCTTTAAAAGAAGGTAACATTGTGTTGATCAGTGATAAAAAAGCAGAACAAAGTCAATAGAGAAAGGCAGTCACTTTGCAGATCTTTCTTACTTCTGATAAGCAAATTCAAATAGCTCTGTACTAGTAAAGTACTCGCTCATAATTTCATTTAACTCTCATTATAAAGTTTTTAAGGGCAAAACAGAAGAACAGCTCAAGACACGTATATATAAGTCATGGTGGAGGTCGTGTCATTATTAGCCAAATAACAGTTGGAGGCATTCTCTTCTCTCCTACAGGTTACCTTAGTGACTAATAAAAGAGGTAGGCCAAGGAGTTTGAAGGTAGATTGCTCAAACACAGACGTTTGACTAAACCAGACTGTTGCTTCTTTTAATCAAAAATTGGCGACTTAGAAACAAAAATGTATCATCATTTTTTCTGTTTAATTCATAACACATTCTCCTTTTTTTGACAGGTGAACGCCAAAAGCATTTTGTATAGCAACAACGTAAAATAAAAACTTGATTGTACCAAAAAATATGTCAAACAAGTTAATAAATATTGAGTTGAATATTCTTTTCCATTCACCTGTTTTCATCAGGCGTCTGTTATTTTTAAGCAAATCCTTTTTTCTTTCTGCTCCTCTGCTTATACGTTTAAATCCTATTTCGGCATCTTCAGATTATTCTTCCCTTTCACGTTTACAGGGTTTCTAGTCAGCACATCTCCTTAATTGTCCTTTCTACACTTAAATATGACGGAGAGTTCGTAATCTAACAGCTATATCTTTAGCCGATTGAACTGTAAGTCCATTTTTTTGGTAGTACAAAAGAGTTTTTACGAATCATGGTTCATTATTATAGTGAATTGACATTTACATAAGTAATCTCTGCTAATTTTTCCTTGACTAATTACCGCACTCAACGTGTAATCTTATGCGTTAGATGTTACAATAAACGATTTTTGAATGTTTGGGACAGCTAAATATGGTTATTCATGTAATATTTTTTAAAGTTACTGAAAAGCTACTTAACTATTTTTCATTCAAATTCTGTAAATAGTTTTACTTTCCTAGCGCTCACTGGTAATAGATATTCTTTTACTGATTTTGTTTAATTTAAGTCTATTTTAAGTTTACTGTTTCCTACAATATATCTTCGATTTTTTTTTTTTTTTTTAAATTGTAGATTTTTCTTCTGTTTCTAAAAAAACTGATATTTGTTTGGTTTGATTGACAGATTTACACCTGCCAACCGTAAGAGTAACCTTCTGAATCACAAATAATTATTATTTTTTTTTTTTATTTGGTTAAGGCGTTTGTCCTTTAAGTACACTTTTATCTCACAGCCATTATTTCTAGACAGGCATAATTTAAAAGCCGCTGCAAATTTTAGAAGAATTTGACAGCAATCTATCAGCAAGTTTTTGTACTAGTAATGATCATCTGGTCCTGAAAATGCGCTTTCTGGGTGTCCTTTGTCGATCATGGCTTAAAAAATTTCTGTTTCAAATCCACTTAGATAATATATCTGGAGGAGGTTAAATGTTAAAAAATGTCCACTTAAAGTCGTAACGTAAGATTGGTGCTAACTCTGACTTCAGTTTTCATTCAGTTGCAGAGGTCTGATAACATGCACCAACTCTTCTTACCACCAGGCCCTGATTTATTTGTACCAAATACATATTGGAGTTGTATGAGAATTGGAAAGATTTAATAATATTTTAACCATATGAGCCGTTTATTTTTTACCTTATTTATTTTTTTTCCTCCATAGATCAGTTATAGTTTTTCATTTGAGTCACTGTTTCTTTGTTGATGTTCTCTTTTTGAGGATCCTATTTCTGGTAATGATGTATTTCTTAACATAAATACCTATGGATTATTACTAACTAAATCCTGAATAAATATGAATTTTTCGTCGTTGCAACCATATATATCAACTTGTTTCATTATTATTTTAACTCTGCCTTCTTTTGTTTTGGATTAAATTGCTCTTATATTCGCAGAAACATTGTTATTTTTTGCTTCCTTGCCTTCTAGTTCCTGCTTTATTATGTCTTTTTCATTGGTTCTCATAGGCTTTAAACTAATCTAAAAATTCTACTTAACTTTCTCTTACTCTAACTTTAAAGTTGGTAGTTTGGATACATTCACCATGGGTTCTTTCACCGTGTACCCTTACAAGTTAACATGTAACACTTGTTTAAAGCGCGCAAAAATTCTTAAACATTCATCTTCTCTTATTGAGTTAACTCGTTGAGGTACGCATATAAAAACTCTAATTTTCTGTTTCATTCACATGGTGCTCACGACCATACGAGTGTCTTTTCCACAACCCCACAGATATCGCTTCATTTACTATACAAGCACAATTAATCTCATCATCAATGATATAGCTAAGGTGTCTAAGGCAAAAAGTACGTCAATGTTATCCATGTTTAATTGTTTTTGAACATAAGACATTCTGGGCGCATAATTACTTAAGAGTTTAACCTTATACTGCTTTGAATTGTGTTGATTAAG